AATTAAATTAATTAAATTGATGAATAAAAATAAATTATTTTTGGTCTTTTAGTATTTTAAGAAAGAAATCAAAATTAATGTTAGTAATTAAAACCTAGATTAATTCTAATTGAATTTTAATTATTTACAAAAATGTGAAAGTTATTCTAATTAAAATTCTAACTCAATTAATTAATGTTTATTAACAAAAATAAAAGTTAGAATTTAATTTGATAAAGAAAATGTTTTGTGTTTTTTTTAATATATTAAGAAAGAAATAAATCTAAATTAATCACTACATAAAATTAAATTAATTAATTAAATGAAGAAAAAAAAGGTTATTTTTAGGAAAGAAATAAAATAATTAAGTTAGTAATAAAACCTATTTATTCTAATTAATTTTAAATTATTTACAAAATAAATGAAAGTTATCTAAAATTAACCTAATTAAACTAATTAATATTTATTGATAAATTTCTAAATTTATTTGGACATAAAAATATTTTTGTGATTTTTGATAAAAAAGAAAATTAATTAATTGTTAGTAAAAATAATAAATAAATTACTTAAAGAAAAATATAGAAAAAGGAAATAAAGGGTGAGAAATTGACCTGATTTTAGGGTGCAACAGTTGTTGGTGTCATGTGTAAGCTATTCTGTTTTGACCATTTGTGTTTTGGCCTCAACGTTCCTTAACCTTCTCAGGATGTCTGCCTCGCCATATATTGGTGTAATGTGTAAGCTGTTCTGTTTTGGCCATTTGTGTTTTGGCTTTTGACCATTTGTGTTTTGGCCTCAACATTCCTTAATGAACTTGCATGGGATCCTGTCTAAATATGCAGTGTTGAATCTCATGAACACATTAAATAAATTAATATATATCATAAAATACAAATAAAGCCAATATATGAAGAAATTTAATGTTTAGGCCAATATGGCATGTATGAATGATTATAACCTTTTGATCATGGAGATCAAATCAGCCTTACCCTTACTGGAGAAGTAGTGATATGAATGCTTTTATGCCATTTTAATCATGGAGATCAAACCAGTCTTACCCTTATTGGAGAAGTAGTAAGATGTTGGTTTGTAACCGGGATGGCTTATTTGTAGTGAGATGTTGGTTTGTAACCGGGATGACTTGTTTGTAGTGAGAGAGGGATTTGTAATAAGGATTTCAAGGTTTTAGGGTTCTTGAAAGAATTTGATATTCTGACAACGTTGTGGCAAGGTTTTTTTTCTCCTCCCTGTTTGTGTGAAAAGAATGAGATTATATAATGGAAATTAGAGCAAATAAAATGGGCTTTGAATGTGCAATTGGGTCTCCAATGTTCACTTGAATTCGTCACGTTCCAGGCTAAATCGCAGGGTCTTGAGTGCAATTTTTGAAGTTGAAATGTGAAAACAAAATGTAGCCGACATCGAGAACTAAATGTTGTCCGAAAATCAGATCAATCGGATAAAAGGTGAATTAGTTATGAATTTTTGAAGTTTTAGCTCAGACAAACTTATTTTGGGCTCCAATGTCGACTCTGACACGTTCTTCAATAAAAAATTGGTATTGATAGGAGCATAATTCGATCTCCACTTTTTATGAAAATTTGTAGATATCTGAGTCAGTGACCTTGTGTAAAAATATGAGCCCAATCCGATAAAAATTGACCGAGTTATGAATTTTCGAAGTTTCGACCCAGATAAAATAATATTCAGCATTCAGGATTTTCGGCGCGTCACGTGCACTCTGAGCAAAAAACGAAGGCCTTTTGAACACCGTTTGAACTTGATACCTCATGTGAAAACGTAGCTAACTCAATTTTTGAAATTTTGGCGCTGGAACCAGCTCGATACGATGAAAATCGACCAAGTTATGATTTTCCGAACATGACGCAAATAAATTTCTGACATAAATTTCCTGTACGGAAATACTTGATAAATCCGCATTTTTGAAGACCTTCTGATCAAAATTGCCTTCCAGCCGTGAGATATGAAAACGTAGATGACGTCAAGACAGAATTTTGGCCACTGGAACGGATTCAAAACGAGCCACGATCTTCAAGTTATGAATTTTTTAGCGCGTAAAAACTGCACTTTTTCACCATATTTCTTTGAGAAAACTCACACAGTCGGATACCTTCTTTAAAGAATTAACTCTTGAGCTGAACCTGAATTTGAGAATACGTTATCAGAGATATCTTGGCAAAAGAACACCTGAATATGACGCGCCAGGTTGGACTTGTGAATCTTTCTTGAAATGTTTTGAGAAATATGGGAGAGCAAATTTTGGGGTACAACAAATACCTATATCAACAAGATGCATCTTATTTTTGGTAGCCTAACACATAAGAACTCCATAGTTAAGGATGCTTGATTTGGGATAGTATTTGGATGAGTGAACTTCTGGGAAATTTCCCCAAAAGTATGTCAATGAGGACAAGCATTCTGAAAAGACCAGTGTTGATTTGTGGGGTCAGTCGGTAATCCTGAAAGTAGTCCGGGGCGTTACACTATCCAACCATCTATTGTAAGAATTGTTGGTCGAAGGAGATGAATGGAACACACAATGTTTCATAGAACTCAATTCAAAACGGTCATCTTGACATACCCGAGGTTTTCTTGATGAAAAACTAGGGAAGAAGTTCTCAAAGTTGGATGGTTTCTTAGATGGTCTAGGTAAAGGACACGTGAAAGCATGAACATTACATGTAATGGAGTAAGAAATCAATACTTGAGAAAACCAGATAGCAATATTTTATCTTGCATTGAAGGATCAGGGACGTAAGTACGACCATCTATATTAATGGGATCGTTAAGTGTAGTAGTAGATTGAATGTGTGGTTGAGGTTTGATCATAGATCTGAAAGCCATTGTTGTTTCTTGAGAAGTTTTGAGTGAAAAGCTTGTAGAAATGAAGATTGCAGAAAGTTTGAAGGATTTTAGGGCTTTAGGGAAGAAGAAGATAGCAAAAGAGAATAAGGAATGAAAAAGAGGTGTGTATATAACCACAGGGAGAAGTGAAGTTTTCATTTTCCTTCTAAAGGAATCTGGACAAGTGGCATCTTGGAATCGACAAATGACATTTATATTTTTGGAAAATTGAATTAAAAAATTTCCTTTGATAAAAAATATTTAATGTGGTGGTCCATGATCCTCCTAGGAAATCGGAGTAATGATAATTTTCTGCACGTAAGTCTGTGACATGACGGTTTGGTAAAAAGTGGTCATGATGGCTATGACGCGTGCAGGCTAATGAATAGTGTCGAGCAGTCATGAAAAACTCCACATTTCTGCCATCGTTTCTCTATGATCGAAAGTGGAATTTTTAGAGGGCATATGTTAGTCTGAAAATTTCAACGTAAAGAATTCAACAAAGAGTAGTAAGAACCATGTTTGGAAATGCTAAGTGTCAATAAATTTAAATATGGTTTTGACACACTAACTAGGTCGACTAAAGATGGTTCAACTAATTCACCAGATAGTATGGGGTATAGGGTATTTCGACATACACAAAATCTGGTTTGGAAGAATCTCAGAAACAAATCCATAATATTATGATTACTCTCTTTTCCAAACATGTCCTGAATCTCGAAAAAGATTATGCAAATAAGCTCTTCAACAAGTGTCTAGTTCAACACGTTTATCAGATGTTGGGGACTTAAGATTTTCTTAAGGTTAAAGATTAAGTGATGTCCAAGTATCTCAACAATTCTATGGGAGTGGACCCAAGACACTCGACGGGGGCAGTTAAGAGGTTCTAGAGCAGTTATCAACATGATGGTGGATTTGCAGCAGTTTAAACATCGAAGACACGTAGAAGAAAATCAGGTGATGTAACCCATATAGAAGGATATGTGTCAAGTTATGTAGAGATAATCGTTGTCGATGGTTAAATATTTTATTAGTATATAAGTCGACCTCAGTGTTGTGGGCGAGGGTTGCAAAAATATCATTTATTCTCTGTAGAACTAAAGTACTCAAGTTAAGTGAGAATGTATGAGTTTGTGTCATCTCTTTTATTTCTTTAAGTCTTTTGTAATTGAAGCATTTATTTTAAATCTCATCTACTTTGTTTATTGTCTACTATATTTATCCAAAGTTTATTATTTACATCCAGTTTGTTACTATTCAAACATTTAAGTTCAAATCACAAACACTTTTCTTAGTACTTTTCTGTCCAAATTATCTCCAAGATTTTTCGAGTCAATCTCTTAAGTGAACTAAACTCGTGATGTTTATTGAAAACACCAGTAAACAATAGCGCCATTGTTTTGTTCAGGAAGCAGAAATAGTTGATGATTGAGTGAGATAAAGATCAACTGCAAAGGAGCGGAATAGACCTACAAGATTAGCACTTCAACGCTTAAATTAGTGAATGAGTGAGAAGTAGCTTGAGTGTGTGAATGAGTGAGAAGTAGCTATTTAGATCTTAACGCGTGCAGAGCTTTATATAGCTAAGGCGGTTAAAATTGTTTCCACTTAATCTAGCGTATTATGTGGATCACCGTTAGATCTAAAAAAAATTCCAGTTAATCTAGTATTTTATGTGGATCACAGTCTAATTAGATCTGACAGTGAAAAGCTGAAAGAAGGTCAGAATTACGTGATTCGTGTTTAAGTGAGGTCGTACTTGTCCCTCGTCCTTTTCATGGTCCGTGTTTAAGCGTGTTTAAGCGAGGTCGTACTTGTCCCTCGCCTTTTTTTCTAATCGTGCTTGCTATTGAGCCTAGGTGTGTGAGCCTTGTGAGCTGTACAAAACACTATCCTAAAATATCGCATCATTTTACTATTTTCTATTGATGAAATTTGCTCTAATTGTCATAGAGCATATCTATATTCAACGATATGACTTTGTTAGAGATATATCTTATTCCTATATTTCAATAGACAGAGATATACATAGCTCATTGCTCGATTGTCATCATTGATCAATGAATTTGAATATTTGATTATAAATTTCAGATTGTAATGAAAAAAAATGAGAAATTTTTTTTTGTCAAGAGGACTAAAAGCTCAAAGAAAGAAAACTAAACAACACAAAACACATCAGGATTCCTACAATCCTCTAGCATCAAGCCATACAATTGCTCAGGACAATCAGTATAGTAAATGCTAGTAGCCCCATTAATACTCAAACTAAATTTTGCTAAATAATCAGCACATTTATTAGTTTCATGGTTAATCTTTATAACTTTGCACTCCTCCACATCCAGCTGCACGATTTCTTGAAACTGTACCATCTGCATTGAAACAGACCCAACCAATATCCTATGAGCCATTCTGCTGTGAAGAATCATGCTTTGATTGTAACTTCTAAGGGAAATAATGTAGATCATAAAAATTACAATACATATTGAATGAAGAAAAAAACACAATACAATACAAGTTGCAGTTCTTTTATGAAAGGGCTTATAGTTGAAGTACACAATACAAACATTGACCCACAAAATACCAACAAAACTTCTACACATACATGTTCAACATATCATCATGAAAACATGACATCCTATTTTATACATAACCTTCAAATTTACAATTTTTATATCTAATTAGCAATTACAACTCCATCTACATGTATGCAGGACACAACATTCGCTTAAATTAGTGTGAAATTAACATCAATAATGACAAACCATGAATAACATTGTGGCCGAATAACGACTAACAATGAATTGTGCATTAGATTTGAATCAAGCAAGAACCATTTGCCTCAGAAAGTGAATCAAAATTCAAGATACGTTGCTTGAAGGAGCACCTTGTGACATGTTAGATGATACCACAGCTTGGATATCCTTCGCAACAAAGAACAGAAGGTACCTCCCATTCCCGAGCCTATACTGTTAATTCAATGAAATGTGGCTTGGTTAGAATCTTCTTTCTCTTGAAGGAAATATAGGCTCAGAGTTTGTCACTGCATCAAATTTCATCCATTTTTTTAGTAGAATAAATGATATTTTTAGGCGGAGTGTTTCTTTCGTTTCGTTTCATAGAACATGGTTAAAGGGTTTATGTACACTCAGAAGCTTCTGGTTTGGCTCAAAGGGTCATAGTCGAATGTTTCACCAGCTTTGACGAACCGGCCCTTCACACGTTTTCTGACATCAGCTCTAGCCTTCCGGGAAGCATACCTCACTTTCTTATCAAACCTAAAATAATAACCACAACCGAGTGTTACGAAGAACATCGGAAAGAGAACGTTCTTAACATTCCGGACTTTAATATCATCACCATTGGTTATATAAATAAGTAAATAGTATCAATACAATCAACTTACTTTCGATTCTTTTTCTTTTCCTTGTAGCGCAAGACAGCATTGCTACGGGTAGCAGATTGAATAGAATTTTCGGGGCAAGGAGGACACCATGGAGGCTCCCCAGTGGGAAGCATTGAAGAAGCACCGCCGCACACCAGCACTAGCACTGTTGATAACGCCGGAAAATGAAACGTTTGAATGGGATTGCATTTCCGTATAGTAAAGAATCGGTTCAGTTTTAGTACTTAACATTGAATCTGAAGATGCTGCAATAGCACCCCGGCAATTTGAATCACCAGCACTAGCATACATATCTGTTCTCTCGAATAAGCTATCGATACCGCCTTTTCCAAAAAACTCGTCAGAGTTATTGAGAGCAAAAGCAAAAACTTCCTTATAGTTCTCTAGTTCAAGATCCATATCGTCTATGTTGAAATTGTCGTACAAATTATAATCTTCGCAAAGTGCAGATGCCATACTACTGGGATGTTGTAACTGCAGATTCATCACAAGAGGTTAAACAAAAAAGCTAAATATCGTGTAACTCATTTCACTAAACAAGACAAAAGTTGGAAAAATCATATATAGTGTCATCGTTGTTAACATGTGACCATCAATCAATGCATGTAAGCTTCGCGGCTATTGTATCTTTGCAGACATATCATTATGCCATCTACTGTCATCAACTTCAAGCTGCATAGGGAAAGAGAGAAAATATAGATGCCAAACATTCTAGATAAACCGCAACTGTCTATGTAAATAAGCAAGACGCAAAAATGCATATCTTTTGTGAACCACAAACATTCTATTAAAAAATATGATTGGGTCTAACTCCTCTCTATAAAACCGGCTTGTATAGAGGATTTCTCCATACTAATAAACATATTTTTGTTTGAAATCTTCTTATGATGAATTTCTATCAATCTTGATGAACAAGATTGTTATCACCACACAATAATGATGAAAAATATGAAATAAAGAAAGACAATGATTTTCTGTAGAGTTTCTTTCTGCCCATAAACTGTGGAAAACTTCTTATTCACTTGCAACTGCAAATTTTGTGAATACAACTTGATTACAAAAATAGGGGTTACTCACTTCGACACTTCCTTGTTTTCTGTCGAGCAAGTTGCTTCGACACAAGGAATTATACTTTCAACAATGTTCAGGCTATATATTGTCTAACGTTGAACTCCTAACACACCCCACTCACATCCAGGACTGGACATCTGGAGTGTGGAAATAAATGGAAGTGTCCGAAAATGGAAACCTAATGCAGGTGGCCCACTGGATCTTAAACCAGACTCTTAATATTATTTTAAGAAATATAGTTGGGTCTAACTCATCTCTACAAAATTGACTTGTAGGTTGAGGATTTCCTTTAGAAATAAGCACATATTCAGGCCATATATTGTCTGATGCGGAACTGTTAATAAATTTCATTTCACCTAGAATCAAAATCCTAGACCACGGTTTGAAATGACTAACCCACAAAAAAGAGAACCTCTTGGAACATTGAAATGCAGAACTGAACAAGACCATAATTACAATAACGACCACATCCTAATGAACTCATGTAAATAACATTTTGGAACATATAAATGATTTTTAGCCCCATCCCGTTCTCCCGAAAATAAAATACTTTCTGAATAAAATCGGCTACTCTCACAGCCACAATCACTGAAGGCACTAACTTATTAGCATTCAGGCTCACCTGTTCCTGCTTTGACGTTCAGGCTACTGATAAATCAGGAATGCTGACAATTCTGTGAAAACAAAATACACACGGGAGACGATAAATGTGCAAAACTAAGGCAAACTGCAAAAGAATCATTTGACAAGAAACTATATATATATATATTGAAACCATTAAACATCTGAAACAGAAGATATAACTCATTCCACACAGGCATGCAATTTCATTTACTGTTCACTTATTAGAAAAAAAATTATTTATGAGGCTATCTATACCTTGGGCATACATTCATTGGAAGGTCCAGACGGCTGGTCAATAATACAAGGTTCTGCACGTGACTCGGTTATTGAAGATGTGCCGGCCCTAGACTTATCCTTGTTGGTAAGATCGGCGACAACTTGAGCTGAGCCAGATACATTCTTGCTTTCTGGAGGAACCGAAGCTTTATTGTCGCGGTTCTCATTAATGCTCATCAAACCGAGTTCCTGCTCACATGCTTCCCCCACAGAAGGGATATCCGAGAAAAAGGGCCATATAGAAGAAAGCTCGGAAGCCGAAGGACAGCCAGAGTAGCAATTGATTGATTGTCTTTTATGTGTTGAAGAAGACAGATCGGTACCATGAGCCGACCAATCACAGTTCTGACAAAATGAAGCTTTCTCTTCAACACACCTCACATATGCAGGTTGTGAATTACACTTCTCGCATACGAGTGTTCTTGAATGACGTTTAGAAAGTGCGTTAGCGGAATGGACATTTCGATCACATGACAAACATAAGGAAGCGGCATCAGAGCGGCAGTACACCAAGGATCTCTGGTCTCCACAAAAATCACATAAAGAACCCATCTTTAAACCACTCTTTGTTTGCCCCTTAATTCAAACAAACAATTGCACAATTAGTAACGACCAACACGAAAGAAAAAAAAGTTACACTTCAAGTAGAATCAATAAGCTTCAATCAATTCTGGAAAGCAAAATCAATTCCATGTACTCCAACCTCGAAACCAAACATAAACTTCAAAGTATCAACAACAACTCGCGGTTAATCCAAACATGCACTATCAAACACACAACATCAGCTTATAGTATTCATGTAAACATCATCAAAAGTAAAACATGAATTTAGATTTAGAAAATAAAATTATTTTTATACAAATTAATCTTTTTCAAGCAAATGAAAAAAAAAAAATCAAATAAAACTATAACAAATATTTCACCGCAACCTTAAAAAAAAACATCTATCATTAAACAAATCAAAGTACCAAATCAGTTCTTAACAAACAAAAGGGAAACATCACAAGATTAGAACAGTTAGCCCTTTAGGAAATTCTCAACTTTTCCTTCCTAGAAGAATCTCCATATCAGAAAAACATGAACATACCAAAAAAAGACAAAGATTGAGAAGATCCTTAAGGAAAAGGGTCTTGTTTTTTTCTTAGAAATTTTAAAAATTATTCAAAAACAATTATAAAGAAATTAAAAGCAAAATCTGCAAGTAAAAGACACAAACCTTTTTTTTTGCTCAGTTGATTACTTTTTCTATGTTCTGTGTTCTGTTCAGATGGATAGAAGTATAGTAGATTGTAGATTAGATATGGAGGGTTGGTGTAGGTCAGATATGACAAAGTTGTTTGATGTGTGTATGTGTTTGTAAAGTGAATTGTGACATGTCACGTATGAGAAAAAGTACATAGAAAAGAGTAAATGGCTTTTTCTGAATGAACTTTTTGCTTTTTCTTGGTCTATCCATAACATTGAAATCACACCATTTTTACAACTATCTTTACGAAGCGAATTTTGAGATTGGATATATAACAAACTCCTTTTTTTAGTAAATAATTAAAATTTATTTATTTATTTATATGAAGCATATTAAAAAAAGGTCTTTAAACACACATCACTACTTGACCAGATATAGAATATCCGTCTCAAAATAATAGTCGTTTAAAATTATTATATAGAAATTAAGAAAAATAATGATTGATTTAATAAAATTAATATATTTATAAAATATTATTTATTATTATTGATTGTAGTACAATGTTATACTTAGAAAAAGTATATATAAAGGATAAAATTGGTAAACGTTAATTATAATTGCATTGGAAAAGTAAAGAGACTATTATTTTGAGAAAACTTTTTGAAATTAGAAAAATAATTATTTTGAGACCGAGTTCATACATCAACACTTACATTCAAAACTATTCATGGTATTTATACGGTGAATAATATTTTTTAAATTAAAAATATATGAACAGTGTTATAAACAATGAACACTGACAAAGTTGATTAATGAAATATAAAAAATTAGTCAATAAAGTTATCAAGTTGGTTAATAAACGTCTAAGTGTTAAAAATACTTTAGTAGTAAAATAAAGTTGATTAATAAAAAGTAAAAAAATTAGTTAATAAAGTGATGAAGTTGGTTAATACACTCAAATATTGAAGATAATTTTTAGTAATAAAACAAAGTTGGTTAATGAAGTGTAAAATATTGATTAATATGTTATGAATTGGATTAATATATGCTCAAATTTTTAAATTAACTTTTCGTAATAAAACAAAGTTGATTAATAAAGTTATAAAGTTTGTTAATGACACAATTTTATATCAATATCTCTTAATCTAAACAAATTATATATATATATATATATATATATATATATATATATATATATATATATATATATATATATATATATATATATATATATATATATATATATATATATATATATATATATATATATATATATATATATATATATATATATATATATATATATATATATATATATATATATATATATATATATATATATATATATATATATATATATATATATATATATATATATATATATATATATATA